TTATTATTATTATTATTATTATTATTATTATTATTATTATTATTATTATTATTATTATTATTATTATTATTATTATTATTATTATTATTATTATTATTATTATTATTATTATTATTATTATTATTATTATTATTATTATTATTATTATTATTATTATTATTATTATTATTATTATTATTATTATTATTATTATTATTATTATTATTATTATTATTATTATTATTATTATTATTATTATTATTATTATTATTATTATTATTATTATTATTATTATTATTATTATTATTATTATTATTATTATTATTATTATTATTATTATTATTATTATTATTATTATTATTATTATTATTATTATTATTATTATTATTATTATTATTATTATTATTATTATTATTATTATTATTATTATTATTATTATTATTATTATTATTATTATTATTATTATTATTATTATTATTATTATTATTATTATTATTATTATTATTATTATTATTATTATTATTATTATTATTATTATTATTATTATTATTATTATTATTATTATTATGTTCCTACCAGTTTACAATCATATTTTTGAACAAATATACTTATTTTCAAATAAGAACTAGTGTGTGGCCCGTGCGATGCACGTGAAAACAATACTATGATTGTATTATAAATTAAATATATAAATAACATTAATCATAATTTATCTATTGTTTTTAAATTAAACCGGATTGGACACAGTCCGACCGGATGGACCGAGAACAGATTTATAACCAGTCTAATTCGCTTGAATAAAATATTTGCTCTCGAATCCGTCAACACCATGGACTGGTAGGATCAATAAGAATTTCTAAATAAATTTTGTTATATTTAAAATTATTTTAAATAAAATAGAGATTTATAAGTTATTTATCAATTAGTTTAAACATTTGAATTTATAAATTGTTTAGATATCTAAGTAACATATTTTATTTCAATTTATTATAAAAAGTACTATATATATATATATATATTAAAATATTTATAAATTAAAATCTGAACAAACTACAAATTATTTAATAAAATAGTTTGATCGTTTCGATGACGATCCAGTTTTGAAAACCTTATATTTACTGTATATTAATAAATATTATAATAAAATATTATTTAATTCACATAAATAATAAAATGATATATAAATATTCATAAATTATTAAACATGTTGTCATAAAGTACTGTTAATATGATTATTTGAAGTTTGGACTACATCACATTCACGTAATAACATATTTTCAATATAAAATTTATATTTAGGTTCAATAATCGATTTGATGTGGTCGAACTGATACATAATTTAATCACCTGGGGCCAACCAAGTTGTGTCAAAATTTTTGACTGTTTTAAATATCATCTAAAAGTAATTCAATCAACCTGGGCAGTACCCTAATTCAATCACCCGATTTATCTGAAGAAATTTTCTTATTTTCTTTAAATATATTTAATTTTATGAAATAAAAATATTTAATGATTCATATAATAAATGTCTACACCAAATGATAGTATATTAAGATTATAAATTATATATCTAAAGATGATTTAATATTTTACTTTATGCATATTAATAAAAAATAAACATAGTAATTTTTAAAAAATTAAGATTAATTGATTAATTATGCAATTAAAGAATATTTTTAGCGTTCAATATTTTTTTTAACGGCAAATATAAAGACCGAGATTCTAAAATTTTTGTTATATTTTGAATTGAGATTTTATAAATATAGAGACCGTGATTTTAATATTGTTCGTTGTTTTTAAGAAAAAAATAAAAATAAAAACAAACACACTTAATAAATCTTAGCCGAGTTTTTTAAATAATAAAATGAACTAAAGCTCAAAATTTGAAGTAGCATTTAATTTTGTATGATTTTTAAAGAAAAAAATAAGAAAAGTAATAAAACTTACTATAGATAGACTGCATTAAATTCTGACCTATTTTTTTGCTACTATTTTTGGTAAATGGTAATTCTTATTATATATAGATAGATGTTATATTTAAAAAAAAAACATAAATAACATATCATATTTACACATATACAATTGTAGGCAAAAAAATTTATGCTAGTTGTTTTCATTTTCTCGCTCTTTTTTGTTATATATTACGTTAATCAAGTAAATATATTATCTATTTTTTCTTTTATAAAAGTGACTATTAACTGATCATAAAATCAAATTAAATAATAGTCTATTATAATTTTTTAAAATTATTTATTTAAACTATTATTTCTTTATTTCATATCATTAAGCAAACTTTTTATTAATATTAGTTTAATTATTTTAGCTCATTAATCAATTTGAGTTTTGATTGAATTTTTTGGATAACTGTTCATGTATGATTTTACACCATATTTATATAGTATCTAGAGCTTATTCATTGTATTATTGGTGTATAAATTGCATTATTGTGCTATAATTCTATATCTTGTTGGAAAGGTATTACACGTGCTTATTTTGTAAATATTTTCACATATTTGTAGAACTTTTGGTTATTGGAGGCGCATGGTGAGTACCTAAGACCCCCAGGATGATGATAGATTGATGCACAGATGAGAAAAATGGAAGAAACGAGTGAAACGGACAAAAACGAGCAAGCAGGATTGTGACACGGGCACCATGCCCGTGTCAGAGGCCGTGTCACCTCAACAGAGAGAATTCGTAACCTGGAAGCTGACACGGGCTGCGACACGGACCGTGACACGGGCAGAATGGCCGTGTCGCGCGCGCAAGCTGTTTTTTATATCTTACCTATTTTGAAAAGGAGAAGGGTTTTGGACATTATAAAAGGCATATTTACCCTATTTTGAGAAGAAGAACGGTGAATACACAAGAGAGGAGCCCTAGAACACATAAGAGAAGCAATTGTGAAGCAAAAAAAAGATCCAACTACGAAGGGATTAAGAAGATTGAAAGATCGACGAGATTCCTAGTTTTTATTTCTTCTTTCCTTTTGAACTTTTATTGATCATGTCGATTTCTAATATGTCTATGTATTTGAATTCGAACATGAGTGGCTAGTTTATTTGATTCTAGGACTTGGTAGTAGATTAATATGTTGGGATTTTGGATGAATTATTATAATTGATTGTTTTTCTTTTGAACCCTATTCAAATATTTTGTTCTTGTTTCATGTTTAGCACTTGATCAATGCTTTTCCATGTTTGACAATATTGTTCATAATTCGAGAGATGAGTTCAATATTAGGTCTTTAATATTTGACACAATTTACTTGCTTGAATCGAGAGATTAGTAGGTCGTTGTGAGGATATTAGATCCTTTAATCTATTTGGAGTTGAATTGCATGTGTTGAGTGGAGACGCTAATATATGTGATTTAATCTACGGTTTTATCGATCTTGAGAGGGACGATAAGCTAAATTTGTTATCATCTTATAGGGAAGATAAAGAAAACATTGGTTGTGATATTTCTGAAGGAACTCAACTATTAATTGAAACCAAAGTCTTAGAATCTATCGTTCTCATACATCTTCTTACGTGTTTTTCTAGCTAGTTTCTTCTTGTTGCTTTATTTCTCTTTAATTATATTTTCTTAGTTTAGTTAATCCATCTCATATTCGGTCGTCTAAATAAAGTTGACACTATCATAATCTGGTACTTGATATATTAATTATTTGGTCTCTTGGGATACGACCTTGCCTGCCACATACTACGAGCGAAGCCGTACACTTGCGGTTGAGTTTTAAAAATATAGGCGAACAATAACCAGAGTTCATTTTGAAAAAGTTGATTGTGTTAGGTTTTGAGTGTGTTTTTGAGTTTGTATTAAAATAATAAAATAAAATAATTAAATTTGATTTGATGTAAAAGTAAGAGCGATGCGATTAGAAGTGGTGTGTAGTTAAAATTAGGTGAGTGAATGAACAGTAATTTAAAGTTGAAGTAAAGTGGGAGGATGATTGATTGATATTATACAATTATATTAATAATATTGAGAATTGTTGCATTGAGTTAAATTTGAGTTAGAATTTTAAGTTAAAAATGTGATTGATCAAAAGTGACTGAATATGATAGATATCCAAGCACCCTCTTAAACTTGCGTACACAATTGCTATAATATTAAATTCTATATTTTTATCTAATTAGTAGGTCATAACCAGCCAGCAATCAATAAAAATTAACATGTAAGTTAAATAGTTTATATTTATATCGTTTATTTTTTACCAATGATAAGTTATAAAATGTAACATGTAAGTCATAGATTACTGTTCTCAATTAAATACTTCGCTATGAATTATGGAAAAACATTAATATGTGTGTATATCAGTTTATGAGATTTTATAATTTATTTATGCAAAATCAAGTAAATCGATACATAATTATAATAATAACTCATAATAATAAAACAGCTAAGCGTAAAGGCTCCTCCTTCAAATAATACACTCAACACAGTAAAACAGATTGTACACCACACACCATTTCCACTTCGATTTCTCTCTCCAACGGCCTTTGCATAAATCCTCTCCTCTCTCTTACTAACAGTCTGAAGCTCTCTCTCTCTCTCTCACACACACACACACTCACACACACACACACACACAAACACACACACAGCTGCATCGTTTTCTGGTCCAAGAAAAAACACACTTTTGTCTCCCCTGAAAAAATTCTGCTAATTTTCAAGCCACATTTTAGCCTTTACGCTTCTCTCTCTTTCTCTCTCTACTGGCAACAATGGAAGCTAATTCTTCCGGTGAGGATTGTACTGTGAAAGTGGCAGTTCATGTGAGGCCTCTGATTGGAGATGAGAGGCTTCAAGGCTGTAAAGATTGTGTCACCATAGTACCTGCCAAACCTCAGGTACTCTAATCAATTCTTAACGCGATGAGGAATTTTTTTCTCTAGAATGTTCACTTTTCTTTAATTTTGAAGGAAATTAATCCAATTAAAATGAACAAATAAATGTTCTTCTCGGTCGCCTTTTTCTTTTTCAGCTGTGCTTAATTTGTTTTTCTTTTCCTTTTTTTTACTAATTATTATTTTTTGTGGAAGATCTGGTATTCAGTAATGATATAGTTTTCCAGTATTTTAAGCTTTTATTAATGAATTCAGAAATTTTGAAGGCCATGCATGTCGCATAACTATTTTTTAATTTTGTTTTTGGAATCCAAAAGAAATATTTGTGTCCAGAAATTGGAAATCTATGAGTCTTGAGGTTGCCCTGGCAAATTGTTTCAGTTTTTTTAGCTGAATGAATGCACAGGCAATCGATAATATGTCTGAATTATGGTCCAATTGAGTCCTTCAGTTGGATACATGGATGCAAATTTTTTTGGGAGATCTGTGATTATTGCCGTGTTGATGTATACTCTACTGAAGTATGAGGAATAGAAAAACGAATTAAAAGGAAAAGAATAAGATTGTTTTTCACTTTTCAATTATGTTTTTATTTTGGCTTTTCTCTTCAATATTTCTGAATGAATTAATAAGGCGAATTATTTTGGGTTTTGGTGCTACAGGTACAAATCGGGACTCACTCTTTCACATTCGATCATGTTTATGGCAGTAATGGCTCCCCCTCAACCTCAATGTACGACGAGTGCGTGGCCCCTCTTGTCGATGGTGTGTTTCAAGGCTATAATGCTACTGTTCTTGCTTATGGACAGGTAAATAAAATCTTACAATCAGTTAAAAGTTTCTTAATGGAAATATGGGTTTTANTAAATGACACTAAAACCCTTTTTCTATTTTGTGTTTATAAAAAAAAAAAAAAAAAGAAAAGAAAAGAAAGAAAAGCTGTATTTGTTGTAGAATCTGAAAATTGTGAATTTTTTTACTTATGTCTATTATAGACGGGCTCCGGGAAAACATATACCATGGGAACTAGTGTAAGAGATGGAAGTGAAGGCGGACTAGTTCCTAAAGTTATGAATGCTTTGTTCAACAAAATTGAGACGTTGAAGCATGAAATTGAATTCCAGCTGCATGTTTCCTTCATTGAGGTTTGTTCTAATCTTTTATTTGACCCTCTTACAAATTTTATGTGGTGCAGCATGTTGTGAATCAATGTTGTTATGCTAATTGTACATGCATGTCCTCATTTTGAAAATATTTGCGTTACGGACTGGACATAATTTTTTTTTGTTTAAAGTGATATAAGATAAATCAACTACTGGAATAAAAGTTACAAATTCCAGTTTACACCCTTTTGTCTCGATGTATGTAATTGTTTTAACGAATATTCTTCTCTTCAGCGTTCATTTCGCAAATTGGAAACAGTTTTCAAGGAAATATTCGTAGTGTTGGAAAGATTGCTAGGTTATCTTGTTATTGGACTGAACCTCCATGGCAATTTTGCAATTAAACATCAAATTTGATGCATTTCCTGATTAAACTTCTTGATCAATGTAGTACTTTTCACTATACTAATACCAATTTTTCTTCAATAAGATCATTCTAATAATAATTTTCTTCTGTAGTTAATGTACACAGTCAGTATAAATATAGTTCTTGAGCATCTTAAGCATTACATGTTATTCGGTGCTGACATTCTCTGTATTTTATTGTGTAGATACATAAAGAAGAAGTAAGAGACCTGCTAGATCCTGATTCCACTAACAAACAAGAGACGACAAATGGACATGCTGCTAAAGTGGCGAACCCTGGGAAACCCCCAATTCAGATTCGTGAGAGTTCCAGTGGTGCTATCACACTTGCAGGGTCCACTGAGTGCAGTGTCAAGACACTCAAAGAGATGGCTGATTGTTTAGAGCAAGGGTCTGTAAGCAGGGCAACAGGGAGTACAAACATGAACAATCAGTCAAGGTGCATTATTTGAATCTACATAGTGGGTGTTTTTTTTTTTACATATACTTTTTAAAAATTTTCTTACGTCTGCGTTCTGGGGAAAAAGATGAGATTTATTTTCTAAGTTATGAGAGTGCATGTCATGTCATCTCTTAAGTTGGACACGTGTGATATATTGTCTGACTATGAAAGCCACAGTAGTTTCCAATATGTAAAGTTCGACTTTATTGTGCTTGAACTATTTGAATTCAAATCTCTTAACAGTTAATTTGTCGTTTTCGATGGAATATGTTGACAAAATCTGTATATCAGGTGTTGTTTGTATATATGTTCAACAAACTTATCTGGCAATTATATCGAGATTGGTGGATATACTAATTCATATCCCCCTCTCCTCTCAGCCGATCGCATGCCATTTTCACAATCACAGTGGAGCAGATGCGTCAACTTCATCCTAGTATTTCAAGTAATGGCAATCTAACTGACTGTATGTCTGAGGAGTATCTAAGTGCCAAGTTGCATTTGGTGGATCTTGCTGGCTCAGAGCGTGCCAAGAGAACAGGCTCAGATGGTTTACGTTTTAAGGAAGGTAAAGAAGAAAAAAAAAAAAGCAATATAGTGTTTGCTTGAAATATGTATCTTAGTTTATTTTTTCTCAAATTTTGTAAACGCCTAGTGACACATACCCTTTTATACAGGAGTTCACATTAACAAAGGTCTCCTCGCACTCGGTAACGTTATAAGCGCACTTGGTGACGAGAAAAAGCGGAAAGAAGGCGTTCATGTGCCTTATCGGGATAGTAAACTTACTCGGCTGCTTCAGGTTGGACTATTGCACAACTTGCATTTTCTTTTTGACCCAAATATTTCTTCAACTGCAAATTGACTTTTCTACTCAGTTACTGAATTCTGAGGCTTGGAGTGTTTGCAGGATTCTCTTGGTGGGAACAGCAGAACAGTGATGATAGGTAATCATTNCTGAAGAAACTCTCAACACTCTGAAATATGCCAATCGTGCTCGTAATATCCAAAACAAACCTGTTGTAAGTTATCTAGACTGTTCCTAACTCTCCCCACGTTTTATTTCACCATATTAAGATTTAATTGACTTCTTGTTCAAAATTCATTGGTTTGCTAATGACCAGATTAATAGAGATCCAATATCCACCGAGATGCTAAAGATGCGTCAACAGTTGGAATATCTACAGGCTGAACTTTGTGCCCGTGGTGGAGGAGTTTCATTTGATGAAATACAGGTAAAAAGCAGCAATCTTATTTTTATTTGTCTTTTCCTGAAGCCCTTCAAGGAGGTAAACTATATTGCATTTTCTTCATGACTAAAAACCAACGACTGAATTGATTATACTTGTTAGCAAGAATATATTTTAAGTTCTACAAGAACTCTTCAATTTTAGATTTTAATTTCACACGTCTTTTAGCATTTGTACTGAGGGCTAAATATTTTTCAAAACTAGTCTGAGGCTATTAATGGTTGGCCCTGGAATAATCCTACCTTTTTCACATGTACCAATAATTTCTCCATTTGATTAATCCTTTAACTCTGCTATATACTGAGATTTATGTGTGAATCACGAAAGATTACAGAGGAAGAGATATAGGTTTAACTGGGGTTAAAATATGTGCAGGTTCTTAAAAGTAGAATTGCTTGGCTTGAGGCTACTAATGAGGAGTTGTCTCGGGAGCTCCATAAGTTTCGTAATGTAAATGGTTGCATGAAGCAGCACGAAGCCGAAATTAAAGTACGCAAATTTTCATTAGCAGGCAATATTTACTCAGATGTATCACATTATAAATGTTAAGCAAGTAAAATCTGTATTGTGCTCGAGGTTAAAACTACTAGTAATATTTTGCAGGCTTATGAAAGTGGTGTAATTAAGAGTGAAGGTCTCAAAAGAGAGTTGCAAACTATGGACTCATCTGATTATCAAATGAGTGAAGGCAGCATAACCAGTATACTTCTCTACATTAGAACTAGCTTCCAATTTGATTTCTATTTCTGAAACTAATGAAGCTGCGTTAAATTCTATTAATATAGTCAATGAGCTTAATTAACTTAAACTTCATGCCCCTGAAGAAGGGGAAAGAAAAAAGAAAGTGGGAGGAGAAAATGAGTACAATTTTGCAGATTTGAACTATCCTTTATTGTTTGCAGGTGATTCTGGAGACATCGATGAAGATACTGTAAAAGAGTTGGAGCATACGTACTTGCAGAACAGTATGGATAAAGAAATGAGCGAGTTAAATCGACAGTTGGAGCAGAAAGAGGTAAAATTTCATTTATTTGACTCAGATTTCTTGCAAAAGTATCTTGTTCTGTTGTCATAATGTAAAAGCATATGCTTAGAGGGTTATATAGCAATCATTTAGTATGTTCGATATTCGTTGCATAGAACTGCATTTGGAAAAAAGTTTAAACGTGTCCTATCATGTGGATCATGTGGACTTAACATTAGTACTTTTTATTCCTTGATTTGTAGTTGAGGGGGATTTCATTGTTTTATTATTTTCAATTCAGTTTTCCTGCTTAATCATTAATGTTAAGTTCAAATGAATTTAGACGATGATATCTTATATTTTTTTGCATAAAATTATGGATTGCAGTCGCAGATGAAACTTTTTGGAGTAAATGACACCACAGCTTTAAAGCAACACTTTGGAAAGAAGCTTATGGAACTTGAGGAGGAAAAAAGAACAGTGCAGGTCTCGCAATAAGAAAATTGAATTCGCATATTTTTAAGGGAACTAATGGATATAAATTTTATCATGTTTCGTCTCGCCGGATAAATCTTTTAATTCTGAATATGTGATTGGATAATTTTACTTCTACAAAAAAATTACTTTTTTTTATCTATTCTTACTTTTTTCTCTTCAATCCAATCATTTACATTTACTATTTTATTATACAATCATCGTAATTTATCTCATATCTTTTTGCAAACTAATAAATAATTTATTCTTCCACCCAATAATTTTTTCCACTTTGTTTACGATATTTTTGTTCGAAAAAATCTATATCCAATCGTACATTTTTAAAGAAATTAATTTTCTTCTATTAAACTGCTTCCTGACAACATTTAATTTATGCAGCGGGAAAGGGATCGACTGTTGGCAGAGGTTGAAAACCTTTCAGCTAATTCTGATGGACAGGCACAAAAATTGCAGGACACGCATGCTCAGAAACTAAAAATGCTTGAGGCCCAGGTTTCACATTTTACGTTCTTTTGCAATATATATCATATATAATTAAATTACACCTTCAGTCTGTCACAGCATATCCTTTAGTCTCTTATACTATTGCAATTTGTCACATCAGATACAAGATCTTAAAAAGAAACAAGAGAATCAGGTTCAACTTCTAAAACAGAAACAGAAGAGTGATGAAGCTGCTAGAAAACTGCAAGAGGAAATACAATGTATTAAGGCACAAAAGGTCATTATTTTCTTTGTATTCACATCTCACATCAACAATATATATATATATATAAAATATATTAATATGCACACACAATTTATATTGTTATGATGTTTGATATTCTTCTGCCATTGCAGGTTCAGCTGCACCAAAAAATAAAGCAAGAAGCTGAACAATTTCGACTGTGGAAAGCATCTCGAGAAAAGGAATTACTGCAGGTAATTCTACATGGGCCATGGCAAACTATTTCTCCGCTAAATATTAGTTTGCTTAGGATTTTCACTCCAGTTTTTCTTCTTTTTTTCTCTTTCCTTTTTGAAACAAAGACCCCTTTGGCTCACTTTTGATTTTACGTGGCATATAACGTTAACATGCAGTTAAGGAAAGAAGGGAGAAGGAATGAGTATGAAAGACATAAATTGCAAGCATTGAATCAACGTCAGAAAATGGTTAGTATTCTTTTTCCAATATGCTCTTGCTACTACTTTTAGTTACAATATCCCCCAAAGTATGGATGGTTCTGCATATCAAATGCCGTAGACTATATTCCTGCTCGACTTACTATGCTGTCTTTTACGTATTCCTTTTATTACACTAGCTCTGGATGATTGGACTTGATAGTAACTTCTCTCTTTATTTTATCCTACCTTAAATTTGTACGGTGCATCTAAATGCTAATTTGATTAAAAAAAAAAGTCACTTTCTAGCATGAAGTGTGTCAAATACTGACCAAAAGTCCACTGAACTAGTTTTTATTTACTTCAGGTTCTCCAGAGAAAAACTGAGGAAGCCGCATTAGCTACCAAGAGGTTGAAAGAACTTCTAGAAGCACGGAAATCTTCAACTCGTGAAAATTCAAGTATGTCTTTCTCTTGAATACTTAAAACTATGTTTTTAAATCAATATTTTATATTTTTCTGATACTAAAATTATAAATATCTTACAGTCAACAGCAATGGAAATGGTACAAATGGGCAGGTATTACCCTATGTTCTCTTCAACTACGTAATCCATATATCATGTCTATTTGAATGGACTTAGTAAAATCTTAATATTCTCTTTTTTAGGGCAATGAAAAATCATTGCAACGTTGGCTCGATCATGAGCTTGAAGTTATGGTGAACGTTCATGAAGTTCGTTTTGAGTATGAGAAACAGAATCAAGTGTATGTACCATTTTCAATTTGTTAAGTTATTGTTTTGAGTTCTTTAACTTGCATGGTTATCACATGCTTTGACATGCAAAAACTTGATATTATTTTGTTTAAGTCTCTTTGTTGTCTCGTTTGCAGACGAGCTGCACTTGCTGAAGAATTGGCTGTTTTAAGACAAGTTGATGAATTTGCTTCAAAGGGTGTTAGCCCTCCAAGAGGCAAAAATGGTGTTACCAGGTTAGAGCAATGTAGCAATCTATATGTGTATATATTTTTTTATTTATTCCTTCTATTGTTAGCATTTGTTATTTTGTTCTCCTTGTATGTGTGAGAACATATTGCGTATTCTTACAATAAAATTTTGGGGGTCGATTCATTTATTGGATATACAAAATCCTATCCGAATCCGACATTGGAAGTAGTACCCGAAAGCTCAGAGAAATTTCAAATTAACAAAAAAAAAAAAGGNNNNGG